CGGAGTAAGTCGAAAAGTCAAGGCTCAACAAGTCCAGGGTGGAGGGCGATGTTTTTCAAGACGCTGCCAAGCGCTTTCCGTCGTACACTCGAGTTTGCAGATTTTAAGCTTGTGGTCTCATGGGGATTCGGGGTTTAGGCTTTCACTCGTCATATCCCCAGCAATCTCGTGCGACGCAAATGCTTGGTCAGACTTGTTTTGCCAGGCTCTTGCATGGCCATTCTGACATTCTTTGGATAACCCCTACGTGCACACCCAAACCCAAGATTTCAGTTTCACGGTTTAGGTTCGCAGATTGGGTTAGGGCTCAGGGCTCAGGGTCCAGAGTCCTTCGGGTAGGCGTAGAAGGAACATCGACACTCAACAGACATGACTGCAAACGGAGCATCGGCAATTTCAGCCTGCAGAGACAATCAATAGCAACACGCACACATCGACATCAACTGTAACGTCATCAATGCGGCTGCCGCCTCATCTTCATTGGCGAAAGCAATGCCGCCAAATGCCACCGGCCCCACTAGCTGCCGGCATTAGTATCAGCACAACCACCGTTTGACGACAAGCACGCTCAGAAGCTTCGCGCCCGCCATAAGCACCTGACCCTCAAAGAAGGCACACACGTGCACGTGTACCCGTGAGGCACGAAGCCTTACTTGGACTGAAGAAAGCACCCAGATTGCAATCCCGAGTTCCCATAAGTTAAGTCAAGGACAACTCGTCGCGCTAAAAGCCTTTTCCCAAATGGTGTGCGCTCGCGGTTCAGGCTCCCATTCCAGGAGAAGGCCCGACCTGGCAGGCTGTTCCGGGTCCTTCTTGTAGAATCATGCAACCGAGTAGGGTGTTAACAGAGTTTTGCCCAACCCCTCTCTCACACAGGCTATGTAAGTCCCCAGACGAAGTGCTGCAGTACTCTACTTCTAGCCGGGCTGGCAGTGTGCGTAGTGCGGGGTCTCTTCATAACCTTTCCTGAACACCTGGCTTTTTATGCCTGCCCGCCCCCCCGTCGGCAACATACCGAAGTCAGACATCTTTGTTGATGCCTGTGCTGGAAGCTCCCGACAAGAATCACGATCCCTCATCGGATTCCTACTCTACCAGATCCAAGAAATCAAGTGCAAGGTGACCCGACCCATAACGTGCCATGTTTTGCGAGGTTTGGGGGGTCCCAGCGATTCAGGCAAGTTTCTGCGACGCCTGCGCCTCAAGGATGCCAGCACCTGCGCGACTCCGCTTGCAACCAGCCTTTCTACGCAAGCACCTGTGTCGTTTCGGCATGTGCAGTCCAGTGCTGAGGTTTTTGTAGATGAATGCTCCCTTCTCTGACCCCTTTCTCAACGCAATCCAGGCACGCCGATCACTGCTGCGCTGCAGCTGCTGCAGCGTCTGCTCGATGTTCTCGAGCGCGCGCCATGCTGAGTCCAGACCGGTCCTTAAATCTCAAAGCTTCAGAGGGTCATTCAGGGATTCCATAGTTCGGAAACCATGCTCTCATCGAACACAACATCCGGAAGACTCATCATCTCAAGGATTGCGTGACCACCGGGAACGCGTTCGGCTGCACACTGGTTTCTTCAACTTGGTTGTGCAAAGGTGAAGTTTCTTCCTCACTTCGCTTCAGGAAGTTCAGAAAGCAAATCAAATGAGGTATCCAGATGCTCCCACCATGATGAATGTCGACGCGCGCCGTCTGGACAGCATTCATTACACCAATGGAGTAAAATGCTAGGACTAGGAGTTCAACAAAAGCACAGGTCAAGATTTGCAGTCATAGCATGGATGCATTGTCCTGCTGGCTTGATCTGGCTTGCATTGTCTCCTGCATAGACGCATTTGCCAGATGTTATTGTTGTTGACTGTCTTTCTGCCTGTTCTTTGCTTCCTTGCTTCCTTGCATCGTGCAGGACTCTCGCCGAGAAGCCTAGTCTTGATCGGATTGAATGGATGCTGACTTGACACCAATCCCAGTATCTACTTAGGCTTCGGAGAACCCGACGACCAAGGTCTGTTTGCACAGGTCATTTGGCAAGCATGAAGCCCAATACCTTTCGAAGGCATGCCGAAGCCCTACACTGCATGATCCGTTTGTAATCATCTGCCAAGCGGCTTTCCACTGGAAAGGCCATCGGCTATGTCCTGCAGCGGCTCTTCATGCCGGCAATTTTCAGCACTTCTGGGCGAATCGCTTAGGGTGCATCTGCGCTAAACAATGCTAAACACATAAGTACCGCCGTCGCCTCTCACGTAGGTGAAAGGATGCCGAAAGTTTGGAATGCAATGAGTCAAAGGGTGTTTGCAGAGGGAGCCCCATGATTATCCGCAGAGCCAAGCATTGAACTGGAGCCTCAAGTCGCCTTAGCTTGAGGCTCCAAACTGAGAGCTATGTTAGTCTATGGGCGAACATATTGCTGTAAAGCCAAACTTTCCCCTCCCCGAACTTTGCCACGGTTTCGTTCCCACGAGTCGGATTTGGCGGTCTTGCTCTCGTTGTATCAAGTGGCTACATGCCACCGCTAGTCCGTGAGAATGGGTCCCTGCTGCGGTAGCACCAGTTACCGGTAGATCTCATCCAGAGCCAAAACCCTCAGAGCCTGCCTCCGATGCAGGTCATCCTCGCTAAGGAGCTTGTCGTCAAAGTCGGGGCAGCGAGTGTCGGGCGTCCTCGGCTCGCCGTCAGTAGACAAACTGATGGGCGTCGCGGCGTCCACAAGGCAGGGGCTGAGAGCACGGCCCGAAGGAGTCATGCTTTGGAGTGTGTGTGGGTGTCCACGGCCTGAGATGGTCAGGAAAATTCCGCACCGAGCAGATGGGAAACGGAAGAAAGCGCAGCCACGACTTGATCTTGTTGCAGTGCGGCATTGCGCACATGTTCCCTGCCCCCCCCCCTTACCCCCCTGCCCTAAGCATGGCTAAACGATCTGATAAGGCTGATAAGGACAACGTGCGCTTCTCATCTGGTGGCCTACTACAGCTGATGCTTCGAAAACAAAAACGATTGCTGCCCCAGAGCTCGGCAGCAAACGATTGCAAGTTCCAACCGAGGCGAGACTGACGGCTTTGGCAGACTTTGTCGAATGGGACCGGGAACTGGCTCCGTGTGCGAAACAACGACTCTCTCAGAGAGCTGGTTCTTGTACTGCAGGCAGCGACTGTGAAAGCGCTTTTTCTAGCTCTCCCTTGATCCTCAGGCCCTTGCTGCATCTGCAGGTCGTACATCATCCATTCGATCCACCAGTTCTGCCTGATCTGATGCTGTATGAATCCAAGCTCCCCGAGCTCTACGAATTCGTGTTTCAATTCTCAGCTTTCCTCTGGCACTTGGAGATGAGTTTCTGCATGGTAGACAGGGTCACATAGCTCTCGATCTGAAACTTCTGGACGCACAAAGGCTGATTTGTGGGCTTTGTCGACTCTGATTGGGTCACCGGCTCCCCACCCAAAGTCGTCGTCGTCACAATCACCACAAATCATCACCACAAGCAACGTTACCATCGACGGTCCTTATACAATCGTCCTATCTGCATCTCCTCACTAAATCTGAAGCACTTGTGCCAAAGTCACACTCACCCGACCCGACCAAACCGACAGGACCCGACCGACCCGACGGACCCTCCCGACCATCTAATCCGAGCAACCCAAGCAGCCAGGCAACCCACCAATTGGCGAGCCGACCCAACCCACTGGACCAAAACGTTCTGCCACGATGACACACCCTCGTGGCAGAACGCTGTCGGCACGGTCTTGAGGCGCAGTCACATCCCCATCTTCACACCCCGGACTCGGTAAAGAGTCGCCGTCGTCGTCGTCGTCGTCCTAGCCGTAGTATAATCCGATTATCATTGAAGGCTTGCTTCTTGCCATGAGTTTGGATCTGAATGGCACTCCTCGACCTGCTGCTTTAGTTTCTGTTTGGCATCCTCAAGCAACCGTGTACTTCTCTCACGTTGGGATTTCGGGTGCAGAGGACGTCGACTCAGGGAACCGGGTCTCTGATTCAACCCGGATTGGTCTCTGAGTCCAGGCGGCCTGATTCCGGAGACTGGTCTCTGAAACCGTTCTTGTGGTCTCTGATTCGCGCCCTCTGTTCTCTGACTCCCTGTCTTCGGTCTCTGATTGGACCCGCCGGTCTCTAATTCGTAGTTTTTCCACAGTTGGAGTGATGCCGGGAGCCAGGAAGTCTGGGCGCCTGCGAGACCAAATGCTTGGACTTCTCCCTTCTGTAGAACCCTACTTCATTGACTCATTCCTTGTAGACCAGTCACACCTCTGTGGCCACTTTTAGAGAAAAACAGAGGCCCTGACCAATAGGCCTTTCAACTGCCACATTGCGTGTCAGACCTCGCAGCCAAGAAAAAGCGGGCAGGCAGTACAGTATGCATGGAATCCGAATTATTATTCATTTCGCTTGCAATGAGAACTCCTTAGCACTCAATTTTCGAGCGAAGACTGTCATCTTCAGTCGAAGCTGCCTGACATCTACTTGGCATCTTCATTGATCCCACCTTGGTTGACATGCTGCACCTTCCTCAGCGCTTCGCGCAGGAACAAAGCCATCAGCACCGCAAACGGAACCAGCAGAAGGACCAGCAGTAAAGCCAGCACGGGGCACGTGATGCTAAAGTCTAGGCTCCAAGTTGTCGGCTGCAGTGAGAGCAGCATTGTTGCCATGACTGCCAGAGTTGATGACACAAGGGCTCCAAATTCCAAGGCATTCAGGAAAGCATCATCGTAGGGCCATGTCAGGGTGTGGCAGGTAAGGCTTGCCCCCATAATGAGGAGCACACAGGCCAAGAACAGCATCCTCGGTCATGGTTGGGAAAACATTCCGCAGGTAAAGCTCTATCCAGTCATTACTTTCATCTTAGAGGTGCAAACCTACGGTCATTCTGAAGAGCGTCGGGGAGTAACTCATTGGGAAAAGAGACGCCGCCATCACCAGCAGGCACTTGCGCGCAAGGACTCCAGCCTGCCACCACGCAACTTCGCCTCACAGGTTCTTACTGATTCTTAGTAGGGAATCATGGAATACAATCCCTATATAATCCCCATATCATCCCTTTGGACTATATTCCCATATTCCCTACTACAAGCCAGTAAGGGTTTGATGTCCTTCGGTTGTCAGGCTTGAGGCTTTTCGGGCCTGGAGATGAAACATGTGTAGTGGTTAGAGTTTATGCTCTGAGTTTCAGGGCGTTTAGCGCTAAGGCCGCTAAGGCTTTAAGGTGGAAGAGCTAAGCCAGCTTTGTTTCAAGGCTTTCGGATGTTAATGGTTTTTGGCTTCTTCCTCGCCTCTGTATCCTGAGGTCAGGAATCCCAGCAAATGCTGGCAGGTTTCCCGCGGCCACATTGAGGTGCGGTGGTGTATCAAGCTAATCCAAGCTCCGGGTCCAATAGCCGCTCCCAGCAGCAACGTACAAATACATGTGGCATATCTTCCGGCCACCCCGGCACATTCCTTCGTGACAGCATAGCTTTCAAAGCTGGTTGCGGCCAGCTGGAAGTGAATGCACGGCACGAAACGCACCAAGGCTCCCAAGAGGTCTGGTAGAAAACAGTTTGTCAACACGAGGCAAGGCTTTATAAAATCTGGCAGAAGCTGCCTGTCGAGCTGGTGACCAGTCCACACGGATCCTGCCAAAACGATTGTCAGTGATGCAATAAGCAGAATCATCGGCGCGACACCTGTCAGCAGAAGCCACTGTGGCATGGAGGCCTGAGACGCCTGAAGCAGGCAATCCATGCTCGGGCCATGCCACGGGGTAGTCGTGGACATCGATGCATCACCTTACAGGGATGTACAGACGAGAAGAACATGGACTGACGGCGATCTACCTTCGATGTCCGCCCGCCTGCCCTTACTACAGCTTGCACTGCAGGGAGTGCGTGGTGATATGCCTCCGAATCCTTGATGGCTGGCCATAGCGACGCTGACACAGTGCCAAATGAGAGAAGCATGTTGAAGAGCACGCTTTGAAGATCTCTGTTCGGCTTGGCAGATCTCAAGCTGAGAAGGTAGATCCCAACGGGCTTGCCAAGGTGCACAATCCACATCTGCCAGATGTCTCCACACTGTCCACAGACAAAGGGGTCTTGGTTGCTTCGGCCGAAGCCTACATCACACTGAGAGCAGCCCACGCTTTGAACATCATATCCAGCAGAGCACTGCTGACGGTCGTACAACCCACCAGGGCATGCTTTGGGATTAGGACATTTCACAGCACATTCGTCATTGGAACAGATGGTGCTTTCACGAGTGATGGCGTAGCCCTCTGGGATCTTGATCACTTGCTCTGCACAGTCGAAGAGTGCATGGACCTCCTTGTCCAGCTTGCTGCAAAGGCGTGCCATCCTGAGGGTCGCATTTGCCAGCTCATCGGCCCTTGATTTGAGCTTATCTGCCCTGAGCTTGGCAAAAAAGACCTCCACAATCGACCCGGCTGCCTCTGCCACGTCCTCCACGGTTTTATTGAGATCATCTCTGATTTCAAAAGCCCGAGGATCCAAGCTGTACAAGAATTCTATTGCCTTCGGATTGCCTTTTCCAGCTGCACAATAGTGTGCTGGAGTGCGGCCTTCATGGTCCACCAAAGTCATGTTTCCACCCGACATGTGAATTTCAGAAAGCACGTCGGTAACATTCTTACCCGTTGATTCCGACAGCTCCTGACACGCGACGTGCGCAGGTGTGCTGCCATTGATATCAGGCATGTCCAGACCTTGGCAGGCTCTCAGAATTCAATGGCTCAGAGCTGATACTCGAGTGCAATTCCGGGCTTTTCCTGATGTGCCAGTTAAAGTGAAAACATGTCTCGGGAGCCAGCGGCCTCACTGAAAGTATTTGGCATGGTGTACGTTTGCACCCGTGTGACCTCTCTTTCAAACAACAACCGCCTAACATGGAGATTCAGAGACACTTTTGGAAAAAAGCTCTGCCTATCAATTCGCACCCCCACCGCCCAAATGCCCCAGTCTTGTTCCTGAGTGTAGTCCTTGCAATGAAGGCCTGTTCACTTTCAAACCTCCAGTGCCTTGCAGAATGGAGGACCCCTACAACAACTTCAAATTCCTGCTGAAGGCAATGCCTCAGCAAGTCGCATTGCGGGCCTCACTACTACATACCACTTGCAGCAACATTGGGTACTCCAACACTCCTACATAGCAGCGTTGCAGGTTTTCAGAAAGACTCATTATGCCTGCTGGCTCTCATCATTTGTGCTCGCTAGCCCTTGAATAACCTTGCGGCTTCTTGTACCAGACTCTGACTGTATGCATGTGAACTTGGGCAGGCCGCATGAATCCAAGCACAGACACGGGAGTTCCAAACTATCCTTGTCTGAGGCGCGCGCGGGCTCCGAGGTCATGTAGCTTTAGCAGGGAATCCATCCATGTCTGTCCAGATTTCCACCTATTGCGGATGACTGCCACATGCGCAGGCGTCACCCCCAGACCATTCGAGTCTGCGCTGCTCAAGTTTGCACCTGCCTTGTGCAGCATAGGTAAAACCTCTGGCTCCTCCCGGGCTGCGTAGTGCACGAGTGTAAAACCACAGTCGCATTGTTGCACCCCAGAGCGCCAACCCGTCTGAACGTTAGAACACTCGCCACAATTTGTCTGCGTCTCGCTGAGGTTCATAACAGGCAGGATCTGTTTCAGGCACTCTGGCTGGCCGTTCTGCATAGCCGTTAAGGCGCTATTAAAGCTCCATGCTTCTGAGACATTGCTCTTGATCAGCCCAATCAAGGTGTCCAAGTTGTCTTCACAGTCCTCCGCTGCTGCTTCAGCTGTTGTCTTCCACTTCGGGTTTGTACTATCCTTGGCGTACTCCTGCTGCAGCTGTCTCCTTTTCGTTTCATCCGTTGCTGCGAGCTCCGCACATTGTGGCAGGTCTGAGGCGCAATCTTCCTCTGAATCGAAGGGAGCCAAGCCTAAGGCTGCCGGGGCGCGGCCGGGCCTTATGGAAACTGCAATTGCAGGCAAGCTCCATAGCAACATGAAACCAAGATTTATCATCACCACGTCTACCAAGCCATCCTAGAGCCTGGTTCTGCGAGGAGTCATGCTCAAAGTCAGCTTGTTTCACCAGTCCACTTTGCTAGCAAGCACTTCTCGACTGAGCGGCCTCTGCACGCGCAGGTGAGAATCCAAGACCGCCTGCCAGGTTGCAAACGGACTCGAAACTGCAAGCCACAGACATGCACCAGTAACTGAAAGCAAAAACACATCGATCGGCCAGACGCTCCAGCACTTGCTCTTGCCGAACTTGTCTCTTCCCGACGCAGGTTCCTGACATGATCCACAAACAACAACTGGATGCAATTCACCTACGAGCACTTCACCTTCTCCTCCTCCTCCCCCTTCGTCTCCCCAGTTGCCCTTGTCTCTGGATTCGAGTCCTGACCACAGGACATGGCCAGACAACACACCTGATGCGTAGCAGAAGCAAGCCTGCTAAACCTCCAGGGCGCCCACCTGGAGCAGCACGGCCAACATGCCCCAGAGCTCGTCACAGTCAAAGCTGTTCGGGTAGATCCAGCATAGCTTTGGCACCTCACGAACGAGAAGGAACATCTACAGAGCGAGAGAATGACATGGGTGGAAACAGGTCTGGGCACAGGCAACGGCTCACCTTCGTCTGCAGTCAAAATCCACGTGGAACCCCACACACCTCAGGAATGGCCCGAAGTGATGGCGCTCCAGAAGCGGATGCTTGGCAGAGTTCCTGGGATTGAATACGGAAAGCGAAGGCACGCTGGACACTGGCGTTGGACGTCGCATGCTTTCTGGATGGTTGTATACCGGAAACTGCCGGGGCCAGAAACAAAAGAAGTCCCCTGGAGGTCCATCTTGCAATGAAGCGGCGGGTTCAGTCCAAGCGGTTGCCGGTGCTCGTCGGACAGGAACCCCCCGTCAACATCATCCGAAGCCGCCGCCACACTGGGCCAGCACCGCGGAGGTACCTTCCCGACTCCCCTTCCCTGTCGGCAACTTGACCAGGATCCATGCCTTCAAGCTCGCTAGGCGGTCCGGGTCTAAGCAAGGCTGGAGATTGTCCACCTGGGCCCCAATCCAAGGGCCTCATGGTCCCCGACCTCTGCCCAACTTTACAGTCTGACCTTTCCATGATCGGCCCCAAGCCCTCAGGTCAAGATCCAAAGTACAACCCGGCTAAAAAGACTGGGCCGCCAAGCACGAGGCTGCATTTGTAGACATCAGCCCCGTGCCAAAGCGTACACCGTCCACACCCCCAACTTGGTCTCCCCAGTCCCGCACCAGGAAGAAGCGCTCCAGCCGGCCTCGGCAACTTTGCCAGCTTCCCCGTGGGTTTCCCTTCTGCTTTTCTGGGCTTCTCAAACTCTAGCTGGGGCTGCCGACCCATGGGCTCGCAGAGGATGAAGATCGTCCGGAGACCTCGGGCTTTGAACATCCGACTTGTGTAACACAGCCACCAGAAGTCACAAGGAAGGAGAACGTTTTGGTGTTTGTTTGCGTGTCTGTCTGTCTGTCTGTCTGTCTGTCTGTCTGTCTGTCTGCCTGCCTGCCTGCCTGCCTGCCTGTCTGTCAGCCTCTGTGTGTGTCTGTGTGCGTGTCTTGCAGCTCTTCAAGAAGTCAGGCAACAAGGGTCAAACTCGGAAAACAAGAGGGCATGACGGCACATCATTGTGTCGTCAGCGACATGCCCCTGTGAGACAAAGGAGATCTACTGCCCAGCTGGGAGACCCAGAGCAAGGGGCAAATTGGCAATGACCCAAAGAAGAAGACTACAGGCACTCAGAGCCCTGCCATAGAGAGATGGCGCAAAAGGGCAGGCAAATAAGCAACAAAAATAGTCACTCAGACCCCGGCCAAATAAAATTGGGGAATAACAGATCGAAGGGAGGAGGGTCCCAAGCAGGCACCAGCCTCCAGCTAGGGCAGCAATGATCCTACAAGCGATGGTGATGATCTGTTGCCTAATAGCACTGGCAGCAGGGGAAAAGCACTTTAAGCAGGTTGTCGAAAATCTTACTGCGATTGAGGCAAAGAATACAGAAGCCGTCTGAGGCAGTGAGATTGGCAGGAAGGAGAGCATGCCCTTTGCCCTCCCGAGCATCACAAAGAAGCGTCCATCGTGTAATGGCAGCAACCTTAAGCCTCTTAACCTGAGCAATGCTGAGATGCGAAGGAAAGAGACGAAAAGAGGCCCGACAGCAGCTCGGATAAAGCGCAGAAACATGTCTAAAGCAGCCCTCAACATCAGGCTGAGACCCTGGCTCAATCAAGTGAGGGAAGTCATGAAGCATAAGTTTAGCAATAAGCTTCTCCAGGACAGAAATGACTTCAGTGGCATGTGCAATGTCAGGAATAAGATCCTTGGCACCACGACACGCGCTTTTCACCTTCTGGGAGGAGCGCTCAGGGTCAATGATACGACTACAATTGCCACAAGCCCACCTTCTATCGGCCCTATGTCATGACATGACCAGAAAGCTTGGGCTGCTCTTTTTTTCGACCCCG